AAACCCGTGGTTGGCAGAGCACAGATATCCCATTGTGTAGCTTTGTGCTTTATTACAAACAAACGTAATACAGGCTCTTTTATTTTCAAAGTAATTAAACAAATATAATTCTAAGTATCACAAATGGTTAATTAATTAACTAAAATTACTTAACTTAAACACATAAAAGTTTAATACGTTTTGCACTTAAATTAAACGGAGAAATAAACGACAGAAGAATTGCTGTACTGTAATAATTGCATAAATTAGTCCTAATGACCGAGATGTGGACGCTTCTTTTAACTTTTTTTTTACAAGATTTGTAGTTATATATGAATATTTGAAACAGTGTCTAGCATTTAGTTAGTTATTAAAACAATTATTTAATAAGATGGTAATTTACTTACCCTTACAATATCGCCGATTAATGATGCAATGAACATGTTGTCCAATTTAACATCTTCATTTTCCAATATATCCTGTTAGATTGAAATATAAAAAATTAGGAACGGCGATAGTGAAGATAACCATCATGTAGCCTTTTTCTGATAATCAGCAAAACTATCAAATAAGCTCGAAATACATCTTCTTCTTATTTTTTAAACATGGAAACACACATCCGGGTCGAATAAAATGTTATTTACAATACACATACACACATAAAAAGCTTTGCCAGAAATTTTTTCAGGCTGCATAATGTTTAATGTTATTGTTTTTTCTTTTTAATTGCAAATTCTGTGACTAGCTCTAATAGTACGCTTTATCCTAAAACATGTGAAGAAAATTAATGAGGATCCAGATATTACGAGTCCTTGTACTCGCTAACTTAATAGGATAACATACTCGATATACTGCGAGTAACCCTGACGTCATTTATGCTTTTGTCCGTAAATGATTAGGCACCTCATTAAGCAGAAAGCTAGTGGCACAAAAGACTCATCGAAACCATAATTATGATTTTATGAGCTGTTTTAGGTTACGAATGACCAAGAAAAATGGATCATTTAATCTTTCTAGACTGACATCTTTTTGTTATGTATTTTTTTGTAATTGTTTCTTGTATTTCTAAGAAAGATGACTAAACATTAAATAACTTTGTGCATTTAGAAATTATTCTTATAACAAACATATCTGAAAAAAATAACGTTTCAATATATTTTGACTTATTTATGTTAAACCTAGTAATATTTAAAGTATCTTTTTGAAAAGTGAAAATAAGTAAATTCCAATTCATCAGATGGCGCGACGTACTGTAAAGTAGAAAAAAAAAGATATATATATTTTTTTTTGATAAGAGATTACAAAATATTGAAATACTAGTTTGTGGATTTGAACGTCCTCTCTGAAATATCTCGATACGCGTAATTAGTGCCACAATATTTACATTAATACAACTGTGATCATAACTACTGGATGTAAGTATTTCAAAGCATAGTCCTAGTAACTGAAAGCAACACAAATGACGTAAAATATTTCAGACTAGAGACAGTGACCTGTAGTTTTACAGTTCATAAATGACGTAGAGACATTTCAAATCTATTTAGCTGTAAAATTTGTTTGTTTTTAAGCGTAAAGCTACACAATTGGCTATATATGATATGTCCTTCACAGGTGTTAAAACTAGAATTTTAACGTTATAAGTCTTGAGACTTTCCGATGTGTCACTGGGGGACTTATGGATAGTATGATATCGATTATTCTCTTATTATTTATCATCTTTATCATGATGATGATTTAAATTTCTGGTTTCCATATATATATATATATGGTTAACATTCCACCTAACGATATAAGAAAAGTCAGAATAATACGCGATACCAAATTAAAAGTGAATCTTTTCGTGAACATTTATTATGTATGAGATTATTTTGATATCCTAGTGGTTCAGTGGTTAGCTTACAGACTTGCAACGCTAAAATTCTGGGTTTGATTATCTGCGGTGGGCTGAGCACAGATAGCCTATTTTGTAGTTTTGTGTCTAAACCAAACTTTCACAAATTCTACCTTTGCGAAAAGCTTTAAATGCTCTCACAAGTGGAAAAAAATCGTGTTTAACATTATAAGTAAAGCGTAACAACTGAATATGTGAGCTAATACTTTAAAGTATTTGAATATAAACACTCCGTTCTGATTTCCGAAGTATATAGTTATAAATACATTCTAGTAATTTTAATTTCAGAATTTTAAATAGGTTATTTCTTATCAAGACATGCATTCTTTGATCAAAATGAAAATATGAAATGTGGACTGGGAAGATCCATTTAAAAAAAGAAAAAAAGTAAAATAACCATTTCTGAAAGAGTCAAATGATTCGTTTAGTTAACATTTGAAGACAAAGTTGCATAAAAACATCCATTAAAAAAATAATAAAAGTTTGAGCGTTTTACAAAACAAGAGGGTAACTTGGAAAACTCTGCAGCAAAAGATCAACATCAATAATTTTATGTCAGCTTTTATAGAATGAAATCAAGTAAGACAGTTGTGATAATACGATAAAATAATTAGACAGTCTAAAAAAATTTTGAAATTCTACTTTTGTCCCTTTCAAAAATAACTTCAAATTTGTTATCATACCTTCATGCTACCTCGTGAACAGTACTCAGTAATTATACAGATATTTGGTGGGTCCACGCATGCTCCGACGAAAGGATTAAGGTTGTCAAACTGAAGATCTCGAATCTGTTATACAAAATAGTGGATACTTTTTTTTAACTTCGGCACAACAGAGCCCTCTAGAAGTTTAAAAACATTAAAAAAAAGAGTCGATTCCTACGTGAAATAAAAGCTACTGGAATCAAATTACCTTTGAAGAGCGTATTTCCAATAATGTATTTAAAAAATAATAATTAATCTTTCTAAACTTAACTTTTCTTAATATCAGTTAGGCTTTAAAGAACGTTACTCGGAAACAGGATCATTTTCAATTAACTCGGTTCTCAATCATTGGATAGTAAACGTTTCAGTTATTAGTTTGTTTACTAGCTGCCTTCCCTCTAGTCTTACACTGCTAAATTAGGGACGGCTAGCGCAGATAGCCCTCGTGTAGCTTTGCGCGAAATTCAAAACAAACCATCACCACTAACTCTTGGGCTATTCTTTTACCAACGAATAGTGGGATTGACCGTCACATTATAACACCCCCACGGCTGAAAGGGCGAGCATGTTTGGTGTGACGGGGATTCGAACCTGCAGATTGCGAGTCGAGTGCCCTAACCACCTGGCCATCTATTATGGAAAAATTAATATTTCCACCTTCGAATATATCAAAATCTAAAAATACGTAATGTAGATTGAAGAGAATAAGACTATCGAGTAGATAATTAATAGAGCAAATTATTATAAATCTTTCACACATATATAGCAAAGTACTTCTCGAAACGTTAAACAGTCATTTCATAAAATGGTTAAGTATTGCATCATTATGTGTTGGAACAAAATAAAAGGTGAGAAGCCCACGTTGTAATATATGTTTTATCTGTTACACGTATTGTATAAAATCTATCTTATTTTGCAGGTACTTACTTGATAACATAAGTACAATAACAGAGTATCAATGACATCAATATTCCTACCAATACTAGGAGTAGCACAAGTAGCTGAGGCTTGTGGAAAATATGACTCGTGAAGAACTCTCTTACGGACATTCGTGGCAGAACTTGATATTCCATGAAATAACAATAAATGAAAACTTTGCTTTAAGTTAGCAATTTTGTAATTCGTTAGTTGAGTTGTAACAAAATGACATTTTAAAATTAACATTTCAAAATTTTCTTCAGACATAGGGCTGAAGCAATGAACCGTTGTTATATTATGTACGAGCTGAATCCCCTCTGCAAAATAATGGACTCACCATATATCACGTTATTCAAAGTTTAAACCCAGTGCTAAACTATACCAATTCATTCAAATTTGTAAAACCCAAGAATATACACATTACAAAACTACAATTACAGCAATTTTTATAGTGTTTCGTTGGATCGACTTTATCTATAAAAACTATGGCCTTAGTCTTAAAGATTTACATATTTTAATTATATTTTTGTATAAAATTTAAAGTTCTGTGAAATTAGGAGAGATGCGTAACGTAATGGAATAGAAAATACAAAATATTCCAATTTGACGTGTGTATGTAAAATTTTCTTTATTTAAAAATAATCGAAATATCCTCATTATATACCTTGCGTCTAAGCTGCAAAAAAAATGAACAAAAATAGACAGAATATTTAATCCCGACTGTTATGTGAAGTACACATTTGTTAAAAGCTAGAGTTAACTAAATGAATAGAATATTTCTAGCTGTCCAGTATTGACTTTGTACACTAATAGCGAGCTACTAGCTGCAAAAGAATCAAACATAAGGCTTAAATTCACTTTTAACTGCCGGGTTGGATATGAAGAGACTAGTTTGAATATGACGTTTAACCTACCGTGAACTTAGAAGAGACTAGTTTGAATATGACGTTTAACCTACCGTGAACTTAGAAGAGACTAGTTTGAATATGACGTTTAACCTACCGTGAACTTAGAAGAGACTAGTTTGAATATGACGTTTAACCTACCGTGAACTTAGAAGAGACTAGTTTGAATATGACGTGTAACCTACCGTGAACTTAGAAGAGACTAGTTTGAATGTGACGTGTAACCTACCGTGAACTTAGAAGAGACTAGTTTGAATGTGATGTTTAACCTACCGTGAACTTAGAAGAGACTAGTTTGAATGTGACGTGTAACCTACCGTGAACTTAGAAGAGACTAGTTTGAATATGACGTTTAACCTACCGTGAACTTAGAAGAGACTAGTTTGAATATGACGTTTAACCTACCGTGAACTTAGAAGAGACTAGTTTGAATATGACGTGTAACCTACCGTGAACTTAGAAGAGACTAGTTTGAATGTGACGTGTGACCTAGCGTGAACTTAGAAGAGATTAGTTTGAATGTGACGTATGACCTAGCGTGAACTTAGAAGAGATTAGTTTGAATGTGACGTATGACCTACCATGAACTTAGAAGAGACTAGTTTGAATGTGACGTATGACCTACCATGAACTTAGAAGAGACTAGTTTGAATGTGACGTGTGACCTTAGAAGAGACTAGTTTCAATGTGACGTGTGACCTACCGTGAACTTAGAAGAGACTAGTTTGAATGTGACGTGTGACCTTAGAAGATACTAGTTTGAATGTGACGTGTAACCTACCGTGAACTTAGAAGAGACTAGTTTGAATGTGACGTGTGACCTTAGAAG